GGATCATGTATAACACAACAATGATCATTAAAAAGTGCATGACAAGATAAATTAGGAATAAGGCATCCCACAGAGATCAGATGGCAATTTAAGGCATCCCATCGAGGGGACAGTTGCACACTACTCTTTTGCGCAGCCTGAATACGAGAACCGTCGGGGAGGCAAACAGAGTATGAAGTCACATGCTAAATATCAAATATGTGAGTCGCAAAACTTATCATATGATGGGAAGTACCACTATCAGTTAAACATTCACACGAGGAAGATACTTTACTAGTTTAAGTATGGGAGGCAGAAGCTTCAAACATGGACATTAAACGGGCCATTTGATCACTGGGACCACTATTCTGGGCATCACTAGTTGCTGAATTTACTTTGACTGTACAGTCGATGCTTGGGGAAGTACCACTACCACTGGTGTTGACAGCCGATTGACTGCCTGTGCCTCGGGCGTGAGTCTGGCCGCGGTTGGACAAACCGCGACCCCCACCTCATTGACCAAAATTCTCATGAAATCTGATCAGCTCAAAACAAGTGTCCACGTTGTGATTTGTGCGCCCACAATGTGAACATAACAGTTTTCCGGAGGCACTTGGGCATCACACGGCAAAGGCAATAGAATCAGTGTTCTCGTCCCGACTACGAACAATGATTTTATTACGTTCCACATGTGACACAAGATAATATGCTTTGTCCAGATATGGGACGGGGTTATGCCAATGAGTTGAAATCTGAGGCTACCTCACTGTTCATTATCAAGCCCTAACAAAAAATCAATTATGTTATCATGTTGGACACACGCCCATTTGGCGGATGCCGCTGCACAGGTACACCCTCTAGGAAGGTCGGTGGAGCCATACAACTGGTTCCAGATAGTGATAAACTGATTCTAATATGCCACAACATTCAACCCTTTTTGTCTAAAAGGATTCAATTCAGAATTGAGTTGATAAATCCTAGGACCATTAGTACATGTGTTCCACTTTTTGAGATCGTCCCACAATTCAAAGGCAATAGTATGAGAGACAATACTTGGTTGGATAGATCCATCTGCACTATTGAATATCCAACTGTATATGATTTGATTATTAGCGTACCATGCAGACATCTCATGCTCGTCAATGGGCTTGGGCACTCCGATAAATGTTATAAAAATTGATTTGCCTCTACCGCCCAAAGCATTACAAATAGTCTTTTCCCAAATATCAAAATTATCACTCTTGGGAAGATATTTGGTCAAAGAATTACCATGGCCTTCAGATGGATGGAGATAATATATGAAAGACAGATCATGAATCAATCTTGTCTTCTTGGCACCTTCGGTGAATGCCATGGCATCGTGGGACATGAGGCTACTAGACAACTGTTGAGCGCTGGACGGAGCAACGAACAAGATCGGCGGTTGGCCGGAGAGGACTAAACAGACGGAGAAGGCTGGACGGACGGATGAGACTAGACGAAGGTGGTTTGACGTGTGCACCTCGGAGGAGAAATGGTTTAGGCTTTTACGTGACTAACCCGGAATTGCTCTGATACCATGTAGAATTTATGGAATGAATTGCTTGCCTTTCCATTAATATGTCAATCTCTCTCTCTCTCTCTCTCTCTCTCTCTCTCTCTCTCACACACACACATATATATATAGTACATGGGGTTACCAAACTATCTAAGGAAACATCTTCCTACAAAGAAACTATATACAATAAATACAATATACTCCAATATGTATCATATCTGTTGTAAGATCGTTCACACGAAGATCTCCCTTGATCATTGTTTGCCAATATTGGTATAGAAATAAAAAATAAACTTCATATATTTAAAAACTACGTCAAGAGGTTTTTAAAACAAGAGGTGACAAAAATATTTTATTTTTTTGACCGATGAAACGTACAAATAAGCAAAGTTTTCGTCATTTTTTAATAGTAAATGGTGATATTGTTTTTGGAACAGAGGTAGTATAATTATAATATTTCAAATGCTTTACCATTGTATTCTTTTTAAACAATTATTTTTTTGTGGAATAATTACTTTTAAAACGGGGGCACGATTTTTTTCTTAGGGGACTCTTAATTTACAAGATTTTTAAAAATTTTGTACTTCCAACTATTCATTTTTAAAAATTAAAAAAAAATAACCTAGGGCTGGCCTTCTTTGACAAAAAACAATTAAAAATAAAATAAAGCTTTACCGTAGCCCAACACATGGTGATGATGATGTCGGTCTTCTTTGATTTCCTGGGTCTCCGTTTCTCAGATCTCAAAGTAAGGATGTCCAAAATAAAGAGTTTTCGGCTGACTTGGAACCTCAATAATATGTTTTCATGATCATTTCGTAAAATAAAATTTTTCATATAATTTTAAACGGTGTAAATTATATACTACTCCCTCCGTCCCATGAAACATGAGACTTTTGCTTTTTAGGAGAGATTTAAGGGGAGTGTATTTTGGTATTGAATTTCCAAAAATGTCCTTTGATGTGATGGGTAAAAGTATGATTTGATGGATAGATTATTAGTAAAAATGTATGATGTGATAGTTAGGGTATGAAAAAGTAAAGGGTAAAAGTGACTTTTTAATAGAAATGAGAAGTGTTTTGTTGGACGGATAAAAAAAGAAAGGAGAAAGGTTTCATGGGACAGAGGGAGTATTTGTTTACTTCTATACCAATTTATATTTAAAAATAATTTTAAAAGTGATAGACTTTTATACGTTATTCATTCGTAGAGTGATATCCATTGTGGATTTGTGGGAACAAGAGTATATTGGTAATTCAAGAATGGTAATTACTCAAACTCAAATAACAATTTAGCAAATCATATATAAATAATGTTATGATTCAAAATGTTTTTTTAAAATCATACTCCCTCCGTCCCAAAAAGTTTGTTACGTTTAGAAAAAACTGCGTCCCGTAAAGTCTGTTACATTTCTATTAAAAAACCACTTTTACCCCTTACTTTTTCATACTCTACCTATCACATCATACCTTTTTTCTAACAATTTACCCATCACATCAAGGGTATTTTTGGAAAGTCAATACCAAAATATCTCTCCCTTAATTTTCCAAAAAGTCAAACCATCTCATTCTTTTTGGGACGGAGGGAGTATTACTCAACATTATGTCGTTTTTCAAATATGACCATAATATTAGCAAATAAGTAAAAAAAAGGAACATTATTTGAATTCAATGAGTAAAAATGAAAGGCTATAATATGGTAGATAGCTTTTGGTAGATGATAGATAAATCATACACTTATATATAAACCCGATCCCTAATGTCAAATCCAAAAATATAAATTAAACCACTAACAATGATTAGTTTTAATCCTAAAAATATGTAAAAATTGTTCATTAGTGGGAAAAGTGGCTCCGATCCCGAGGCCTTCGATCGGCTATTACCATACTTTTGCTTTTGTGGATTCAAAAGTTAAGTGACAACTTCTTTTTGGTCCAAAGCCCAGATTCGTTAATTTTGTGGTAAATTATTTATTAATTGGATAAATAAATAAATAAATAAATAAATAAAGTGAAAAAAAATTGAAAAGTAAATTCCATCATATATCTCTTTAGCTAGCTTTCAACATTTTCAAGGAGTTGCTCTGTAGAAAAGAAAAGCTTTTTTGTTGGACTGACCCTCAAGCAATGAATATTTCAGTTTGAAAAGTCTATACACCTCCAAACTTTCCATTATTTTATCTTATCCTTCTCATTTTTAGAAGAAATAAATAATAATTGATGGAGTAAATTTGTTCTCCTTCCAAACAGTAACATGTTTTTTCTTCGGTAAAAAAAAATAAATTAACAGTGATACGTTCATAAGATCACAGGTAAGTTAGATTAAATTGAGTTAAGCATTTTGTATAATTAACCATTGTCTACTTTTATTTTAAGAAAAAAAGAACAAAAAGTACAGTATTAAATTTGAGTGAGATTTAAGTACCTAGCTATACTATCCCTTTACCAATTTTGTCCGTGATAAATTATACTTCTTCTGTCCAACAATAATATTCTTGTTACGATGTTTGACTGAAGTTATTTTCAAATTATTTTATATGAAAAATCGTATGGAATTAAAAAATTAAAAGTACATATTTAAAAACTACATGAAAATATCTACAAATTAAAACTAGAGGTGAGATAACTATATTATTTTACCAAATGAGAAACGAACACACGCTAACAAAATGAATAAAGTTTGACCGTGTGAATAGGAAGCGAAAACATTAATATTGGACGGAGAGAGTCCATGCCATTTGTGTTTTAAGAGTGGAAAAATCTTCCTAATGTATAGACTCACATTTCTTGTAAATATTTCTTTACTAAGTCTCAAAAGCAAGTTATACTGGCCAAAATCAACAAAAAATCTTTTCAAGTGGTTATGACAAAACCTTAAAATTAAAATTTATAACCTACGCGCACTTTGTACCCGTCAAATTTAAATTTTTCTTTAAGCCCTTGAATTCCTCGCTCATCTATGTACTTTTATGAACCTTCTCGCATAAATTAGAATTTATTTTTTATAAAAAAATTAAAATATATATTCATCCCGTTAATTAAGAAATATTTATTACCGCCTCCCGCCATCTGTGTAAGTACATTGTGGACCTTAGACGTACCATAAAATTTGCCATTTTAGTTTCACAACTTCTAAAGATATGATAGAACACAAAAATATAAATAAACTCTTAATTTAGGCGCTCGATCAAGATGGGCGTGCATGAAGTTGTACTGATTAATTATGTATGGATCAATCATACGATGTATATATATTTACGTATCGTTTATTTATTTTTTCTTTAATTGCATGCATGCATGCAAATCCAGCTTTTATATTATGGCGAAGTATTCAATAATTATTCAATAATAGGAGTGTTAATTATTATGTTGATGGTAAGCTTAATTGGTCAATTGATTAACATCAATCAAGAAATAGATCATATAATGATAAGTTGAAAATAAACAAGAATTAAAAAAAAACACAACATGATCAAACAAGTGTACGTTCAAATGTACATTTCATTCTACTTCTTCCATGCCAACTCCATCTAAATCTATGGGACCTGTCAGATAATTTTAACTTTACCCCCCTTCTCCCTTTCTTTTTTTTAAAACACTAAATTAAAAAAACAAAGAAAAAATGACAGGGAAAGAAATAAAATTATAACCACAAAATTGAAAAGGAAATTAAATTTAAACTTGATTTGGGATTTTGGATTCCCTCCTCAACCACATGATTACAAGACCTGGATTTTGAACTCAACTTGTTTGTCTACCACTTCAAGAATTCCCACTTGGCGTTCCTCGGCGTGATCGAAATCACTGGCGATGTTCAGATCAAGAGAAATGGACGGTTGGAATTTGTCGCATTTCGGCGCAACCATGGGAGGGGTAGGAGGAGAAGGAGCCCTCGAGGCATCGCCGAGGCTCTCGGAGTTGAAAATGACGATTGCGTCCTTCATCCTCACCATTTCTCCATCATCATCACCACCGCCATGGGATAGTCTAAAGCTCCCATTCTCAATGAGATTCTTGATGCCCTTTTGGGAATGATAATCAACATGATCAATGTCCTCCATGAAGAAAACCCGGCTAGGGTTTTCGCGAACCGCCTCCAAGAACCTCTCGAGATAGCTTCTCCCTTCCTCATCTCTCCCCCTTTTTTTGTTACTGATCACTTCCTCCTCTGCTGCTGCCGTGGACCCCTCCCTCGGCGACAATGAGAAGCTACTAATCCCAATGGAGATAAAGCTATCCTCAGAACCAAACACAACCTTAGCTAGCTCCCTTGCAACCCTCTCTTTCCCTTGTGAATCAGCACCTAAGAAGCACATCCAGGTCTCTTGTTTCCCTTTCCTCTTCACCAACCCTGACCTACACTTGAGGACCGTGCTGACGATTTCCGGGATCGCGCCCTCCCTTTGCCAGGGAACTCTCTTCTCCAATGCCTTGCGAAGAACGTTCATGTTCTCCGAACTCACTTCATTGAACTTGTTCAAGTACTCCATGGGGAGGAGATGGTCCCCACTCGCTTCGCTAGAGGAAGCCGAGTTAGGGCTAGAATTCGGGTTGGATAACAAGTCCGGCTTTGTACCCACCGATCCGTTTTGGGACGCAAAGAATTGGTGCTCTCTCGGTGACTGGTCTGCTTCAAAGACAACTGGCCATTGAAGCAAGCTTTGGTGTAACTTGGAGCTTCTTTTTTCGTTGGACGAAGACACGGAAGTGGAGGAACATGGAGATGGAGAGAGGCTCAAAATCTTTTCAGGGAAGAGTGGGTGCTTGTGAACTGAGCTGCATATTGAGTTCCATTTAGTGCATAGATCACTAATCTTGTCACCATCCTGCAATTAAAAAAAATGTCAGCTCTTGTGGTCCATGGGCTATATATATTAGGGAGGAGGGGAGGAGAAAAGTGTTAAAAAAAAGGTGGTGTAATTAATGAACACAATACCTGCAGATGATTGGTGGTTTGTGTAGTGGTGGTTGTCTCCTCTTTGCACTTTTGGAGCCATGAGGGCAAACAAGTTGGGGTGGTTGGCTCAGCCTTAACAGCAGCAGAGGCCATGTTTCTAACATCTTTGTTGAAGTTTGACATGCAATCTGTACAGCATGTGAGATTCTTCTCAGCACCACTTTGGTTTTTGCTGCTCATTAACCAGCACCTGCTTGATCCTTCTACCCCTGCTGCTGCTGCTGATGCCTTGCTTCCAAATTCACCATGCCAATCACTGTATATATACATATACATGAACCAAATGACAAATTGATACTTATTAAGCACATTTAATAAAGAGTTTATGTGTATTTATATTTAGCGGATGAAGGGACGAACCTGTCGGGCTTGAGACTAAGAGCCAAACTGCCAACGGGGATTGTGAGGGGATGAAGGGACCAAAGATTCTCAAGAGAGGGATGGCCAGTTTTGCACTTTATGTATGTCTGGAAAGTGGCAATGCCCATTAGCCAAAGTCTCCCATTTTCCCCAACACCACCACATAACAATCTGCTGAGCTCCATTATCAGGTGCTCCACTGGGGAGTAGCAGTAGTGAGTGTTTTGGTCAGCATATTTTGACCAGAACTCAGAAACCCACTTAAGATCACCTAAATACAGAACCACCCCTCTGCTTATGTAGCTTTTCACTAATGCCCTGAGCTCTCCAATCTTTAGCTCAAATTCATCCCTTGACATGTTTTTCAGGGTCAAAACCGGAACGCTTATGAACTGTACGTGCCTCATGTCCTCTCTCTGCACTTCCCCCTTGCTGATCTTTTCTATGACTCCCTTGACTACCCCTTCAGCTGTGGCCAAACACTCCCCAACAATCACTGTGTTTCTCCTCTTCTTGCTCATCATAGCCTCCACAACACTCATCACATCTTCGTTCTTGACGACTGCACGATCCCCAATTTGTGGGAACCTCATCTGCTGCTGCTGATGATGGTGTTGAGAGACGCCGGTGATGTTTCCTAGGACTACTGGCTTTGATGCCACCCCTTCCTTGATCTCAAGCGAAACCGCTTGTTCGACGTTCGTTTTAACCTGGCTACTGGAAAACCCGGCTTCCCTCATCACTCGACTCACACTGGGATCATCAAGAATGGAGATCACCAGCTGCTCAACTTCAACTTTGAGTGCAAGAATGGGCTGCTGCTGGTTCTCAATGGACCCTCTCCTTTGATGGGCCTGAGCACGCTTAAAGGCGGCGACAAGGGCGTTGGAGAGGGAAGGGAGGTGAGAATGGGGGCCCAAAATGGGATTCGAAGAAGAGGTTGGGAGACGGTTGAGGGCGACATTGAAGCAAAGCTCAAGAGCTTTGCATTGGAGTGGGTGAGAGTGGGAATGAAGGCAAGCCCTNTTTGCTGATTCATGTGTAAGTGACTGTTGGAATGTATACCCACCAGTCCTCATATTTAAATACTCTTGTCTGCAATTACTCTGCTCTCTCTTGATTTTACAAGAATATGAGAGATTATGATTATTATGAAGCAGAAGAAGAAGAAGAAAAAGATGAGAGAGATTTCATATGGGTGTTGTTTCAAGAAGGTGGAGATAATGGGTTTGGAGTGTGGGGGTGAAGGGAATTAATAGGAGTTGAAGTAGGGTGGGGTGTGTGGGGGTTGGGGTGGGGGGGAGGGGTAAGTTTATGCCTTTCTTGTAATGGTTGGCTTAGTATAAGAAAGTAAAAAAAAGAATTTGAGGCAAAGCTAAAGCTAATTAGTCTTTCTTTTTGGCTTTCATAAGGGTATAATTGAATTAAAGGTGTAATAATAGGATAAATAGAATTTGAAAGTTGGACTGTTCCTATTTTACGCAAGAGGATTGGTTTTATTTTTTTGGAGAGTTATAAGTTCAAATGTATATTCTCACTCACCGCAATAAAGTTTACATTTTCTTTTTTGAGATGTCTTCAAACATACTACCATTTTGGCAAAAAAAAAAAGAAAGAAAAAATTGAATGAGAAGTCTAAAATACCCTAAACTGCCTTTTTTCTAATTCATCCTTCTTTTCTTACACAACCTTCTTTTGTAACACTAACTCTTTATTAACACATCCACCTTTTCATATTACGCCCCCCCCCCCCCATATACTCAGCCTGCTTAAATATGGAGGTAATTTGGAAAAGTAAACCAAAAAATTATTTTAACTTAAAACAATGTGAAGACAAATTGTGAAAGAAAAAGAAAACATTTATGTGCTTTAATTTTTGTTTTATGCCTATATACTCTCTGTCCCAGAATAATTTACCCACTCTCTTTTTCATGCATCATAAAATAATTTACCGAATATTTTCCCTTTTTGAAAAAAAAAATATGGTTCAAAATACTTCTCTTTCTTTTAACCAAATTCTACCCATTTACTTTTTACTTTTCTTAATTTTCGTAGAATCAAAATGAACAAATTATTTTGGGTTAGAATGATGTGGAGTGGAGAGAAATAAATATGAGAGAGCTTTGGTAAAAAGAGAAAAGTGAAGGAAAAGAGAAAGGAGGGATCTGAAAAGAGGGAGAGGACTGCCTGTCTGTTTGAAGGGATTGGGAACTGTGTGTATTCTTCTTTTCTTTTTCTTTTTTTTTTTTGTGATTCAAGCTTCTCATCAGAAATCTCTCAATTCTCTACAAAGTCTACAGGGAAAAGGAGGAAGGGAATAAAGCATTGTTTGGACTAATACAAAAAGTACTACTGCTGCTGCTCTACATAAATAATGTAGTGAGATCATGAATAAATTACCTGATTTGGTGAGCCCATAAATTCAGCCCACTACCCTCAAAGCCCAACTAGCAAGAAAGTCCACTGGAAGGCTGTTTGACTGCAATGATTCATAATTCAAGAATCAAACAATGGAGAAAGAACATAGTTAGGTTAAGGTGAGAAAGAGAGAAAAGAAAGAGAGAGCCCAATAATAATAATAATAATGAGTCAAATAAGAGACAAGGTATGATCATTACTATTGCTAATAAGCTCAAAGGAAGCCAAGGGCTTTTTGGCATATGTGCATCATTATGTTTTATGTCATGTCTCCATTATATGAGTTGCTTTTTACCTTTATCTCCCTGCAACTTCAACTCACAAACAGAATCAGGGTCAGAAATGTCGAGTACCTAACATCAAAAAGAAGGACCCATTCTCTTTACTATTTTGATCAGAAATTTTTTTTAAATTTTTTCACCCAGAAGAAAAAATTGCATTATTGTGTATCTATTGCCATCACCTCTGCTTACACCACCAAACAGCTTTTTACTACTACATATATCCAGCACTAGCAAAAAGTTGGAAACTGAACATATTCTTGTACCATTTTTGGACAAACTCTGAGACCATCACAAAAAATAATAATCATAAAAAAAGTTCTAATACAGAAACAGTACTAGAATATGATCAGAAGAGCTTTTCATCTTCATCATCATCACATATTGAATGGTGGAAATAATCAATCATATTCGAAGCCGTCTAAGCCTTCTTCATCTTCGAAATTGATTTCAGTAGTAGTTGCGGTAGGAGTTTTATTATGTGCATTCCAGTCGGGAGGAAACGTCTTCTGAATGGCTTCTGTTATGCTGCCACCGGTCCTCTCAATCTTGCGTAAGCACTTAGACCAATGGACAGCTGTGCCCATATCGACCGTCACGCCCAAATCAACCATCTCTTCACAAACATTTAGCATGCCGGTTAGTATGTAGTCTTCGGTGACAGAAGCTCTTGACACCAATGATGTCATCAAACAACGGTACGAGGCTTTGTCAGGCTTCAATCCCGCTCGCTTCATTTCTTCAAAGCACCTCAGAGCCTTCTCTGGGACCGATGCAAGGGCCCACCCGTTTATGAGGGTCGTATACGTCTTTACGTTAGGCTCCACTCCAACTGCCTTCATCTCTTCAACTGTTTCCATTGCTCTCTGAAAATGATATGATCGTGTTTATTTAAACACTTATGGCTTCAATTTAATACTCTATAACTAGCTTCTAGAGCATCACCTGCATGTCTCCAGCTTTGCAAGAAGCATTTATGAAAGATGTATAAGTATGGATATCCGGCTGAACCCCTTCTCGTCTCATCTGTTGCATAAGATCAGCAGCCTCCCAAACATCACCTCTTCGGGCCCACCTTCAAAGTGATCACAACAAAACACGGAAGAAAGTTAAACCCATAGATGATACAACAGAAAAGTTGCCATTCTTTCCTCATTTCAATCCTTAAACGAAGACCAAAATATAAAAATGCCATCTTTGCCTCTTTTTTCAATTCTTGGAAGTCTTTTATTTCACCAAAACTCACACACTTCTTACCCATCAATTAATATGTTGTAAATGAAGGTGTTCCTGGGGATATTGTGAGCTTTCATTTCTTTAGTCACTGCTAAAGCACTTTGCATCCTCCCCGATTTACAGCACGCCTTGAGCAAAGCCTCGTACGTATACACATCAACGACCAAACCTTCGGATTTCAGTTTTGTGAAATATTGAAAAGCTTTTCCAGTGTCACCAACTGATGCATAACCTTGCATAATGGTTGTATATGTGTGTTCATCGGGACTAATTCCAGCTACTGACATCTCATCCAATACTCCAACAGCCTTCTCCATCTGTTTAGGAAGCATAAAACTCATGGTTAAAGTCCTTTAATTGCAACCATCAAGACTGAGAAATAAAAACTTGTTTTAGTGCTCGTTTGGTAGACATTTTTTTTCACCGTATCAGACTTTTCACCAAAAATTAACTCATGTGACTGCTATTTAGCCGATAATGAAAGAGTGCTGTAGAGGTTGCGCTTTTTTTGTTGAAATTAATGAAACTGACACTTCAGCATTTATTTTCAGATATTATTTTTCTTTAGTTATCTAAAAAAATTATTATAAATAAATATATTTGATACTTCAGCAGAATCAAGCATTTCAGCAGCAACTGCAGCATGCTGGGTATGATATTTCAACCATTTTAGACCTTACAAATGGACTCTTAATCTTGATTCAAGCAACATGGTATAAAAAGCTGAGGTTTTTTTACCTGGAACTTTTCAACAAGTCCATGAATTAGAGAATTAAACACGTGGACAGTTGGTGCGCAACCATTCCTCCTCATCAAGTCCAAAATGCTGAGAGCTCTATGTATTTCTCCAGCTTTTGCAAAAGCATGAATAAGGGGCAGATATGTCCGTGAACTAGGCTTGAGCCTCTGTTTTTTCATTTCATCAACTATACGAATGGCACGATCCATATTGCCCATCCCACAAAAGGCTCTAATGATGTTATTGTAAAGAAGAAGATCCGGTTTCAAGCCATCCTTTATCACATCTTCAAAAATGGCAAAGGCATTTGCCCAATCCTTCAGATTTATGAATCCATTGATCAACATTGAGTACGTCTTCATGTTATGTTTTATGCCTGCCAATTTCATCTTTTCACTGACTTCCAATGCTTTAGAAACCTGCCCGGACTGCAATGGTTTATCATGGAAACGAGTCAAATTACGATTTGTAAAAAATTAGTACTCCAACCAATCCTATTTTTAGATCATAGAATGGTCCTAAATAGAAGTCATTTTACATCATCAATGCTTTCCATCATCTCCGATGGAGCCAAAAATTCACTATTTTTTGGCTTTGGGGTGTGATGGAATAAAGCAAAATAGATCTCTAAACTGTCTGGGCTTCTTTAAATAATGAAGTAGCAATTAGTCAATCAATGCAATTTTCAATGCTGAGCCGGGGGTCTCTTTGGAAACAGCCTCTCTACTTTTGAGTAGGGGTAAGATCTGCTCCCGAAAATAAATGTCTATATATAGACATTTATTTCTTTTTACACACAATTCGACACTTATTTGGGGGGAAATTGATTTTGCAAAATTTACATACAATACAACAAAAACTAGCATCTTTTCTTTTTTTATTATTTTGAAACATGACTTTTTTATGGATGAAGGCAGTAAATCTTATATAGGCTGAACTGAGAGAACTTCCACAATTAGTTTAAACATTCATGCTAATATTTGCATGCTCATGGCCATGTTGCGGGTACCTCATGCTCAGGGACATCTCATTCTTTTGGAAGACAGTTCAAGAAACTACTCCCTCCGTTTGCAAAAAGACTTCCTATTTTGATTTGGGGCAAAAATAAGGAAGTGTTAAATTATAGTTGATTTCCAATTTTTCCCCTGATGTGATGGGTAAAAGTAAGATGTGATGGATAGATTATTAGAGAAAAAGTATGATGTGATAGGTAGGGTATGAAAAAGTAAGGGTAAAAGTGGTTTTTAAATTGAAAGGGGAAGTGTTTTGTTGGAAGTGGAAAAAATGAAAGAGGAAGTGTTTTTGAGAACGGAGGGAGTATCTAGTAGCCAAGGAATTTGTTTAGATCAATTAAATTGAGATTAGTCATTCCTAGGTAATAATAAAGAAATCAAGAATGAACAAAGGTCATTTTTTACATTAAAAATCCAGTGGTGAGGGGAAGAGTACCTTGGTATACAAATTGATGAGACAACCATAACTGACTATTGATGGTGCAAAGCCACATTCCTAGAGGACAAAAAAATCAAGTTCATGAGATTCGTTAGTAGAACTACTGTTTCCAACATTGATTCCACACAGCTCTGTTAAGGCTCATACCTTAAGCCTCTCAAACACAACAAGACATTTTGCAGCATTTCCACTCATTGTATAACCATCCATCAGAGTGTGGTAAATATCAATTCGGGCATCAATACCCTCTTCTTCCATCTCCTTGACCAACTCTTCAGCTCGATCCATATTACCAGTTTGGCTGTATTTTCACAAATTCTCCGTGAGTAATAAATAATCAAACATATTCCAACAGCGTTAATTCCTAAATTAAGTTTTTGAGAATGCAACACTAGGTAAACAGCAGACAAAAGAAAAGGCACATAGCTACTTGAGAGTACAGAAAAGGTCAGCACTTGGTACTTTACCAAAATGGGTCTATAGATACAAGGAGTCAAGGACATATTCAGTGATAAGGGCATTTATCATTTGGAAAATAACAAATAAATAAAAGAAACCACAAATGAAGGATTGCATACCAGTTAGCATAGATGATGCTTCCATATATGATAGCATTTAAGGTCATATGCTCTTCTTTGGCCTCCCGAAACCACGACTCTGCATCTCTTCCATAAAAAGAAAAATGAAACACAGAGAATGCAGTTCGTTTTCCCATTAAGCAATTCACAAATTAGTTCAAATCTAACAAGAAATTACGTTGGGTAACACAAAAGCATATAAAATTCTCAGAGAATTAACATAATAATTACTCCATATGTCCCAATAAGATTTGCCCACATGCATAACGATGATTGACTGAATTTATTTTCTATTCAATTTATATGAAAAAATGATATAAAATTAAAAAATACGGAGTAAAATTTATAGATTTAAAAACTATGTCAAAAGGTCTACAAAACAAGAGATGACAGCAATATTTTATTTGATCAAATGAGTAATGATATTAAAGAAAGAAAGTGACTAAAGTTCAACCCTCAAATAATGAATGAGGGAGTTTTAAATAAGCAACTCAGCACATTTATGTGACATGCACCTGAAAATGTCAAACAACTTGACATGAAAAAGATCGTGTATGACAGTATAAGGGAAAGGAATTACTTACTCAACATTGCCCAATTTAGCAAATCCACTGACGATAACATTGTAAGTCACCAAACTCATTTCAAGTCCTTCACCCTTCATTTTCTTCACACAAGTCAGTGCTTCTTCCATGTCTCTACCAACTGCATAGGCATGAATCAGGCTGCAAAAAATGGTAATACTTTTTTATCGGGACATGGATAATGCAATTATTTAAATTTTATAAGGACTATAAATCAATCCAATGTGATTCTGTAAATTACAAATATCCCCCTACACACACCCCCCCCCCCAAAAAAAAATAAAAAAGAAAGAGCATTTTTTGTCTGCTTCAAAAAGAAAATTAAAGATTTACAGTGTACAAACAATGCTTCCATGAACAAGCATTAAACATTGAACAATTAACTCATAGAAATACCAATCTTGTACCTCTCTGGGAAGTAAGGATCAAATGTTAACAGAAGCCATCATAGTATATAGGGGAACTAACTTGGTATATACATGAGATGTAGGTTCTATTCCCCTAGAACGCATCTTCTCAAAGATTTCTCTTGCACGATGCATGTCCCCACGCCTAGCATAATACTTCACCATCAACCCAAACTCCTTTCTAGATGGCTACAAAGAGTGTAACTGGTTATACAATTAAAATGACCCAAAATCATATGATCAACATGACACTAACTGCACAACATTTAAGTGCCCCTAAGAATCAAAGATCAATTCTTCCATTTCATCCCTTGCTGGACTGCACAATACCCATATGTAGTCTAATATTATGATTTATGAACTACTCAACTATCAACTTATTATTAGTTTTTCTTTCAGGATGACTAAATAGGCAAGAAAAGAAAGCCATGATACCTTTTTTATTCTCTCAAAGGCTTGTACAACTGCTTGCCAATTATCCGGATATGATTCTAAAACTTTCCTCAAATCCATTCTGGAACCCTCCCTCTCTTCATGCCACTTGGACTTGTACTCTTTTTCATCTTTTCCCTCAACCCATCTCACCCTCTCCTCTCTTTTGGATTTCAGCCTACTTCCATTGTCCAACTTCACAGTTAACACCCTCCCATGAAACTCAACCCCGTCAAACTCGACAGCANAAAGAAAGCCATGATACCTTTTTTATTCTCTCAAAGGCTTGTACAACTGCTTGCCAATTATCCGGATATGATTCTAAAACTTTCCTCAAATCCATTCTGGAACCCTCCCTCTCTTCATGCCACTTGGACTTGTACTCTTTTTCATCTTTTCCCTCAACCCATCTCACCCTCTCCTCTCTTTTGGATTTCAGCCTACTTCCATTGTCCAACTTCACAGTTAACACCCTCCCATGAAACTCAACCCCGTCAAACTCGACAGCATTCACTGCAGCCTTCTCAGCCATGGACCCTTCATATATGACAAACCCAAACCCCATGTTTCTGTCAGTTTCATGGTGGCCTTTTATCAAAATCACAGTTTTTATCGGCCCGAACTGCCTAAAGAACTCCTTAACCTCGCTTTTCTTGACCCACAATGGTAAATTCCCCACAAAGATCTTCCCTTTCTCCCTAAATTCATCTCCTGGTACCATTCCTTCGGACTCCGAGTTTTCTGAATTTCCAGCAAAATTATTTTCATCTTCTTCTATAACTGTTTCTTGGGGTGGAGGCGGCAGGGGCGGTGGGGAGAGCTTACTGGACAGCCAGAGCTTGCTAGACAGTGTATGAGGCGAAGATGGGGGTGGGGGCCGTGAAGCAGGAGAAGGGATAGTGGGAGGGGGAGGGATGGACTTGATGAGATTCTTGAGGGGATTCTTGGGGAATTTAGAGTCCGTGGAATTGGAGATTGTCCGGGAATGATTGTGAAGGGTCGGGCGGCGGAGGACTGTAGATGAGAACGAAGAAGTGATGAGCCGGGAACTGTCTGTGGAGTCCCTAAGGAGTTTCAATGAACGAATGGGGGAAGATGCGGTTGTTGTTGGCTGGGTCTTTCCGGCGAGGATGGAGGCTGAGAACGGAGGAGGTAGTGAGTAGTGGGCGTTGAATGAACCGGAAAAAATATCCATTCAGCAGTAGAAATTTGATTTTGGGATTTAACAGTAGAGTGGAATATTATTGAGGGAAGGAGGGAGAGAGTACTCCGTATAAAAAAAGTACTGCAACTCCATAGCCACCTGTAAGAATCAGCAATTCAAGCAAAAGCCCAATTGGCTTCTGCACTCTCCTTCTCAAGAATGGAAGAGGACTGCAGATTGCGAAGGGGACGACTGCAAATTTGGATGGTGGCGAAGAATGGAAGACGGAAGAGATGGAAATTGTCTTCCCGATAAAATTTTCTAGAAGACTAACTCCCAAAATTTGGAAAATGATTTCTTACACGCCACACCCATGGCCAAGAACCATAAAGAGTGAAGATGAAAGAAAATAAAATGAAAATAAACTTTATTTTACCTCCTAATATATCTATAATAATTAGTTCTTATTCACATTTTCCTCCCATTTTGAAAAGAAAATACTTTCATATTTTTCATCCTTATTTTTCACCTTCTTCCAAACACAATACCTATGCGTGCCTCTTTATTTTCCACCCATAAATATTTTTCCGCTCTTATTTATAAAGAAACTAGCATTTTCACCCGTGCGATGCACGGGGCCGACGAAATTTTGTCTATTCTGAATTTTTTTAATGCAATATATTTTCTGGATTAAGTAAATATATTTCTAACACGATTTTTTATCATTGGACAAAAACACCAAGGTATAATAAATAATATTTGAGAAATTGAAAATATACTCAAAAATGTCTTTTTTAATTCCAAACTTATTGGCATGAAGAATAAGAAATTAAGTAGTACTTTTCACCTCATGGAATAAAGGATAAGAAAAAATCATTTACCATTCAACAATCTCGAGCACGGGTGTCAATAGTGCACTATCTTAAAAAAAGAATATAATAGTTTTTTATGTTCTCCAATAAGTTCGAAAAAGTGAAGTTCACTATATTTTTGAGAAATAAATTGTGTTAAGAATCAAGATCTTTAACTATTAGAGAACCAACTTCATGTATCGGGGAGATATTATAATTTCTTGAGTCTCTAGTTTTCTTTGTCAACAACATCAATGATACATTAGAAGTAGGCTCATTATATATGAAGTCTTACTTTTCAACAGCCTCAATGATACATTAGAAGTAGACTCATTATCCATGAAGTCTTTAGTTCTTCTAAATATCTGTGTTAAAACATTATGCTCATCTACCATATTTTTCAAATCTTTGACCAAACTTTTATCAGTATTCTAAGAATTATTCTCCCTACTGTGCGAAACAAATAGAACAATTTGTTTTTATTAGCATGTTAATAATGTTTCATGTGTATTATATTGTCAAACACATGTAAATAATACTTTTATTAAAATGGTGTACTCAATAAAGTATTCGAGATACCTAAAAAGAGTTATTTGTTTTCATATCTCGTTCTGTATACCATAAATATACAATTGTGTAAATTTGGGTCTTTCACCATATTTTGACATTAAACATGGTATGTGATGATGAATGTGTTCGCTGAGAGTACATTATTGCTCACCCATTATTGTGAGATGTATCAATATTTCCATTTATAAATGTTAATGAAAACATACGGTTGTATTTATTTAAGTTTTTCATGGTAATGAGAACTCTTCACACCAAGACCATGAAATAAATTATAGAGCAAATCAGATGGTTTTTCTTAGAAGAGACAATTAAACTTTTTCTTTTATGCAATAAATTGAAAACTTTAGTTGTTTTGAATCTTTATTCATTTGATTCTTTCTTCATAGTTCATGTCATAACAAAGTTTCTCGAAATTCACACATAAATGCAAGATTCCCAAAATAGATTGTATCTCAAAGAAAAATAAAATATGATGTATGCAGTCTTATATATATATATATATATATATATATATATATATATATATATATATATAGCATTCTACACAACTTACATGTTGCATATATAATCTAATAAACATATTTTTAATTTTTATTTCTCTAAATACAGCTATAAATTGATTCCACTAATGTATCTTAAACATATGAACCTTCTACCTTGCCATTTAAATTTAAAATATATCAAGTGTGTCCACCATATCTATTTTCTTACATTGTTTATAATGATTTATACAAAAAGACAATAGTTGTATTATCATATTCAAAGAAATTAGTAGAATGGGTTGTAAACATAGATCAATTCTCTTCTGTTTCTTATGCACTTAAAAGCGCGATGAAGCGTGTGTATAATTGTTTCGTGATTGGAAAATTATAGATGATTCTTTGGGAAATATGTACTGGAACGTGTTTGCAAAGTATATTCTTTCTTGAACGTGTTCGATGATGCGAGTTTATAGCCGATGATGATCACTCCCCTTCTGTATTTGTAATAAGCATCATAAAATAAATATTATAATTTTTTATCTAAAAACTTTAAATATATTTTTTTATTATCCACTAATATTTGTTACATTGATGTAGATGGTTCAATGAATAAATAAGAAAGAATATTACTTACTTATATTATTTTGACATAGATGTCAAAATAATTAGCACATTTTTTTAAGAATTAAATATAAAAGTAATTACATTTATAACAATTAATATTATACCATAAATATTTCGATTAGGAACACCAATTAATATTTAATTTCTTACACATAAATACTCACTTATCAAGTCTTGATCATTTTACAAAGTTATAAATG